CAGGCTGGAGTGCAATGGTGTGATCTCGGCTCACTGCAACCTCTGTCTCCAGGGTTCAAGCGACTCTTCTGCCTCAGCCTCCTGAGTAGCTGGGATTACAGGCATGTGCCACCATGCCCGGCTAATTTTTTTTTTGTATTTTTAGTAGAGAGGTTTTCAGCACGTTGGCCAGGCTGATCTCGAACTACTGACCTCAGGTGATCCCCTCACCTAGGCTCCCAAAGTACTGGAATTACAGGTGTGAGCCACTGAACCCAGCCACATATACTTTAAATCATCTTTAGATTACTTGTAATATCTAATACAATGTAAATGCTATGTTAATACATTCATGTGCCCATAATGACATTTCAGTCTATGACAGATTGCATATACAACAGTAGCCCTGTAACAGTATAATGGAGCTAAAAATTCCTATTGCCTACTGACATTATAGCCATGTAATGTCATAGCATTCCTTACCTGTTTGTGGTGATTCTGGTATAAACAAACCTAACGCACTGCCAGTTGTATAAAAGTATAGCACAGGCTGGGCACGGTGGTGCACACTTGTAATCCCAGCATTTTGGGAGCCCAAGATAGGCGGATCACGAGATCAGGAGTTAGAGACCAGCCTGTCCAATATGATGAAACCCCATTTCTACTAAAAAATACAAAATATAGCCAGGTGTGGTGGCACATGCCTGTTGTCCCACCTACTTGGGAGGCTGAAGCAGAAGAATCACTTGAACCTGGGAGGCGGAGGTTGCAGTGAGCCGAGACTGTGCCACTGCATTCCAGCCTGGGCGACAGAGTGAGACTCTGTCTCAAAAAAAAAAAATATATATATATATACACACACACACACACACACACAATTATATATAGTACATAATACTTGATAATAATAAATGACTATGTTACCAGTTTATATATTTACTGTATTGTACTTTTTTTTTTTTGAGACAGAGTCCCACTGTGTCTCCCAGGCTGGATTGCAATAGCATGATCTCCCCTCACTGCAATTTCTGACTCCCGGGTTCAAGTGATTCTCCTGCCTCAGTTTCCTAAGTAAGTGGGACTACAGGTGCCCACCACCGTGCCCGGCCAATTTTTGTATTTTTAGTAGAGACAGGGTTTCATTATGTTGGCCAGGCTGGTCTTAAACACCTGACCTCGTGATCTGCCTGCCTCAGCCTCCCAAAGTGTTGGGATTATAGGCATGAGCTACCGTGCCCAGCTGAATTGCACTTTTTATTGTTATTTTAGAGTATACGCCTTCTATTTACAAAAGCAGTTAACTATAAAACAGCCTCAGGCACGTCATTCAAAAAGTATTCCAGAAGAAGGCATTGTTATCACAGGAGGTCACAGCTCCATGTGTGTTACTGCCCCTGAAGATCTTCCAGTGAGACAAGATGTGGACGTGAAGGCCAATGATGTTGATGATCCTGAACATGTATTGGCCCAGGCTAACATGTGTATTTCTTCGTTTTTAACAAAAAGTTTAAAAAGCAAAATAATATAAAGAAATTTTCAAATTCAAGCTTATTTCTTGGAAAAAGTACAAATAAATACAATTTTAAATTTAAAAAAAAAATTTATTTTCAACCCAGGAGACACAGATTCATATTGCCCTGAATATGTGCTCCCCACTAAA